TTTTTTTTTTTTTTTTTTTTTTTTGTGTGTGTGTGATTCAGACACAACAATTCACCTTAATTAATCCCATTGATAGTTTTGAGGGTTGATCGATATCTCGCCATCAATCTTAAATAAATGCAAAATGATAAAACGCAGTTAACCATTTCATAGCAAAAACTCACAACAACAATATTTATAATAATATACCACAAAATAATGATTTTATTTTGTTGGTGATAATTATCATATATATATATAAAATTTGTTACACAAAGAGAATTCCCTTCAATTGTTCATCCTCTTCCCTTTTTTACCTTACTAATTGATCTTCTTGCTCCCCACCATGATTATAATCCTTTTTCCCCTCACTTTGTGTGAACAAATTTAATTAGTGCATGTAATAAGCGAAGAAGGACAAAAAAGTAGCCCCAACCAAAGTTCCGAGAGCAGGCAATGCAGCAGTGGCATCACTACTTGGTGCAGGGGCAGGTGCAGAAATTGGGGGCATTTGAGCCATAGCTGCACTAATTGAGGCTGCAGCAATTAGGGTGACACAAGCAATCTTCTTCATCTCCATTTTTTTTTGTTGAAAAAAGAATTGTTTTTTAAAAAATAATTATAATTTGTGTTTGATTATAATTTGTTGCTTAGGTGATTCAATGTGGTTGAGAATAAGGTTATATATATAGGTGTGTGTAGGGATATTTTGAAGAATTTTGTAATTCGGATAATTTGAACCACATTTTCATATTTATGGTTAGAGAATCATCTGTTAGATTTCAAGGGTTCTCAATTTCTTCATTCTTCTAAAATTTAGCGTTTTCTTGTTGGTCTTGGTTTGTCCTATTTTGTTGAGGTCAGAAGAAAGTGTAAACATGAAAATATTTTGACAAGTTTTTAACGCTTATATTAGAATTGAGTTCGTTAGATTTTAAGGGTTGTTATTTTTATTTTTATTTTATTTTATGTAATATTTTAGTTCTTTTGTAAGTTCTTTATAGTTGTCTGCGCTGTATATTATTAGTATATGTTATCATTATTTATCATATTTAGTTTTAAGATTGTTCCTCGGTTTATCATCACATATTTGGTAATTTATACTTCAACGATCTCAATATATTAGTAATATTTTTTTTTTGGTTGATGATAATTTTGTCTCCTTTTATTTTTAGAAAGTTGAAGATCAGAACAATAAACATGAACCGTAAATCGACTTTTTTTAAGAAGAATAAGTGTTTTTAGCCACACAAAGAAAAAAAAACGAAGAGAAAACAAGATATAGAATGATTCATGAATGACACGTTTTATTGTTTGGACTTTGGAGCTCGACATGGATCATGTACACAAGGAGTACTGAGTTATTTAATGCAAATGCAATAAAATCCATTAGTACTAAGAAGCTTTTAAATCAAAATGACACAGTTAGAAGAAAATTACAAGTTACCTACTCAAGAGACGATCAGAAGTTCCTCACAAGGAGACTCAAATAAGAATCAGTTAAATGATTAAATGAATGCAAACTAAAATTGAGAAGATTTCTTAATTCACAAAACTATACTCAAAAAGCCAAAATCATTCATTTGTATGCTAATATGCTATATGAATGTGTGACATGCGGCACTCATCTTCACGCTAGTTTATTTTTTAATTTAATGTATTCTTTTATTGGATAACAGTACAAAATTATATAACCTTCCATTCATACCGGGATAGTGTATAGGGTAAAATATGCAATGCTACGTGGCCGCTCAAAACAGGGACATGTGGAACCTAAGACGGGGGATAACCAGAACCGAAGACAATTGTCCCGTCTGTCACCGGAAAGAATAACGTTCATAAGGATGCAATAAATACTCTTTGCCCGGTAGCATTTAGTGAAGAATATTCCACAGCATTAAGTACGTTGCCGTTACAAGAAATTTGGCATTTATGTTTACCGTTATATTTTTATCAATGACCCTCATAATTGGCATTAAAAGGCACGATCCCAGGACCTCTTTCCCTAGACCTAGCTAGAAATAGTGAGCTATGTTATCATTGTAAAGGAGGAATTTACTGGAAAACTAATACTACAATCTACAAAAAGCTCTGTATATTTTATCTTCTTATTTTCTATTCTTATTATTGTTCTTATCACTGTTGCACCCGGAGGCTTCATTACCAGAATCTTTATTTCTATTATTTCGTCTTCCTTTCAAAGCTAAATGTTTTATATTTCTTCAATCATCTTATTATTTCAGGATCAAATTAATTCACTTGTCTAGAAATTACGTATAAATTCAACTGTACCGTTTTTTGGGTAAACAGTTTGGCGCCCACCGTGGGGCCTAGACATACGTGTAATTAAGTTATCTTTGCCTCTTTTACTAACATGTTTTGATTATTTTGTCTTAGAAAAAATCATAAGAAATGGCAGATAACGATGTTAACAACACACACAATCCCGAGGTTCGAGGAAATCAACCTCATTTTAAGAATTCAATCAGTGACACCCACAACGAGGAGAATGACGCCATGACGGTGCATGACGGGCGATATCCACGGCATGTTGGGAGACAACTCCCGATGACGCTGAAGAGGAGGATGTTGTTGATGCGGTAAGGGTCCTACAAGAACAACAAGCGATTATTCCGGGCCACCTCACGAGACATGATAAGGTTATGACAGAGTTGAAGCAGGCGCTGTCGGGGGCTTCGAATAATGCGAGTAGATGAGAGTCGGTTCCTCCCGGCGCTTCCGAGAATCAACAACGCAGAGGGTCGACAACAACACCCCAAGGGGAGAAATTGGCTCCGATGGGGTTGCGGGAGCAGATTCGATCCCAATAACGAAAATGATACCTTTAAGAGTGAACTCTTATGATTCATGAGGGAAGTGAATGCCCGCATGGACAAAATCCCAAGCACACTACCGGTGCTTAAAGGACCAGACTCAAAGAAGTATACTCAGTTGCCACACAAACCGAGCGCTACACCAGGATTAATCCCGAAGCGGTTTAAAATGCCCGACGTACCAAAATACGATGGAACTTCAGACCCTCAGGAGCATATAACCACCTATACGATGGCGGTAAAGGGAAATGATCTAGCTCCTCACGAGATTGAATCTGTTTTGCTGAAGAAATTTGGAGAGACTCTCACGAGGGGAGCCTTGATGTGTTATTCACTGTTACCCGAGCATTCCATAGATTCCTTTGAGATGCTCGCGGATTCTTTTATTAAGGCTCATGCTGGGGCCAGAAAGGTGCAGGCCCGAAAGGTCGACATATTCAGAATTGCCCAAGGAGAATCCGAGTTGCTGCGAGAATTCGTTACCTGGTTTCAAAAGGAGAGGATGTTGCTCCTAGCTATTCCCGACGAATGGGCGGCTGAAGCATTCACCAAGAGACTAAATTAAGAAGTTCAGACGCTTCCCAGAAACTGAAGGAAAGTTTGCTTGAGTTCCAAGCAGCTACTTGGGCGGACGTACATAACCGGTATGAGTCAAAGATAAGGATCAAAGATGATCAGGTTGGTTTTCCGTCGTCGGCGAAGGGAAGGGAGAAGAATAAAGAAAAATCAAAGACGACTTCGACACGGATAAACGGTCTTCAAGGGGCCGATTTTTGCCTTACGAACGGACAGAAGGCCGCAGCAGAGGTTTTCGTTCAGCAGATAGATTCATTGCCGATAGAAGGTCTGATCACTGTCGGAACAATAGATCGTTGCAGGACAAGAAAGTGCCAGGTACGTGGGATCCTTCCTACACCAGGCTATTAGAATACAATTTCAATATCAGCATAGTAGAATTGGTATCCGCTATGAGAAACATCAAAGAAGAACGGTTTCCGAAGCTGATGAGATTCGATCCCGGCCAAAGGGATCCTAACCTCTGGTGTGAATACCACGGGACGAATGGACACTAGACTAGGGACTGCCGACATTTCCGAGAAGAAGCAACAACACTGTTTAAGAATGGTCATCTCAGATAATTCTTGAGTGACCGAGCTAAGAACATGTTACGACCCGGATTTTCCACCCTCGGGAGTCGTGATGGCGCCTACTAATGAGAGCTAGGCAAGCAAAACCTTTAATCTAAATACTTCATTAACCAATTATTTCTTTTTAACAATTATAAGGCGATAACGCGTTAATAGCGGAAATTCAAATTTAAGCGGAAGACAACAATAACATATATGAAAACTGTATCTATTACAAATACTTAAGCCTTAACCACCCAAAACCTTGTGTCACAGTGTCACAGACGGTCTAAGGTTGCTACATACAAGGTCTGAAGAAATAACAGTACACTGATTCTGAATAAAAGGAAAACGAAACAGGAAATAAGGATAGAGGAGACGCCAGGGCCTGCGGACGCCTGCAGGTCTACCTTGGATCTCCGCGTGAACTGAAAATAGCCTTCAACCTACGGTCCGAAGTCAATAGCACTAGGATCTGCACAAAAGAGTGCAGAGTGTAGCATCAGCACAACCGACCCCATGTGCTGGTAAGTGCCTAGCCTAACCCCGGCGAGGTAGTGACGAGGCTAGACCAGACTACCATATAAACCTGTGCAGTTTAAAATATTTGTACAGCGGAAAAGAAACACAGAAATAACCAGTCAAAATGGGAGGGGAGCATGCTTTGGGGGAGATAGCAATTCCGAATAGAAAGACATTAAATAAACGAAAGAAATAACATAACTCAGATATCAACAAGAATCAGGGAAATCAATAAATGCACGACATCACCCTTCGTGCTTTTACTCTCGTCCTCACCAAACCAATCATATAATAAAAGTGTGCATGGCATTACCCTTCGTGCTTTTACTCTCTTTCCTCACCATATAATCAATAAAATCGGCACGGAATGGTACATCGTGCGGCACGACATCACCCTTCGTGTTTTATACTCTTTCCTCACAATAATCAATAAAATCGGCACAGAATGGTACATGGTGCGGCACGGCATCACCCTTCGTGCTTTAACGCTCTTCCTCACCCAAACAACAATCACAAACCATAGGGCAAGGGAATAAATGAAATTGCAATAAAGATCCCGACAAGGGAACAACATTTCAACAAATAAATCCCGGCAAGGGAACAACATCAATAATATCAACATCCCGGCAAGGGAGATAATAAATAAATCAATAATATCCCGGCAAGGGTGTCAACATGATAACTTCTTTTCTTTCTCACTTTTACTTCATAATTCACTTCATAACTCGAGCTAATGCTCTAGAGGTTTAATTATCGCTTACACTTTCACAATTCGTTACATAACTTGAGCCAATGCTCCTCAATGTTCATGAGTCACAATTCCTTCCACAAACTTTACACAACGTATAGAAACCATCACCAAGTCATGAAAGATACAACGAAGTCATGAAAATCACAATATAAAGACTCACGGGCATGCTAGACACCAACGTATAGATACTCGTCACCATGCCTATACGTCGTACTCAACAATTACCAGATAGAAATTAGGACTCAACTCCTAATCCCTCAAGCTAAGGTTAGACCAAACACATACCTCGATGCCTCGAACAGAACTCAAGTTTCAATTATAGCTTTACCCCTTGATTCCACCGCCAATTCGCTCGTATCTAGCCACAAGTTACTTAATTACATTAATAAACGATAAATGAATCAATTTGAATGTAT